GATGTCAATATGTATTCAATGATTCGACATATCTTTGATCTACATTCGGAAAGTTAAAAATAGTGTAAAATACGCAACAAACTAAATTGAAATACATCCTTATGATGATACATTTTGATATGTAATTCTGCAAATGGATTTAACTCCTGACGGTCTTTATGGTACCACCTTAAGTACTCTTTGTAAACAATAAAACAATTAGTTCATTATTATTTCGAATGGGGAATACTTACAGTTCAAATACAACTAAAACTTTGATCGAAATGGAATTACATAAATATTTAAATTAAAACATGAAAATATTTCTAATTTACGAAATTGAAAAGATAGTTGTTGATGTTAGGTATTCTCTGAAAATTTACTTAATACAACAAATAAATGGTGGATCTTCGGTGTCTATTAAATAAATTATCCTCTTTTTCAAAGACACAGTAACATAATTTATTAATACCAAGTTTGTTATTTTATTTACAAATCTTTACTTTATGAAATCAAATCTCATTGGCATGTCATTATATTAAAATATTAATTCTTTAATCTCTTAAAGGACTTTTGAATGTTTGTCTATTCCTTTTTTGCAAAGGCTCACGATATTTACTTCTACGATGTTTTCGTCCCCAGCGTGCGACTGAAATGTAGAAGTTCCCACGAAGAGTCTCGACGTGAACTGGGAATCTTCTGTACTTCATTCTTGATTTTAATATCGAACGAAAGTTAATGTCCCTAAATCAAAATTAACTAACACAATCTATTTACGTTGAATCATTTTCAAAATGCCTCTTATGAACATTTCTATTCGATACTACTTCAAATCACGTTCACTAACCGTTCTGGCATCCTGGATCTCTATCACATCTAACACCACTCCTTGAGTGCTCGCTATGAGAACCAGATATCTCCTGAAGCACTCGCCACCACGATCAAATACCTTATGACAAAATTATGAACACGATGAAACATGTAACCGTTTTCATTTGTCTTATATATTTCTGTTAGTAACGTTTCCATTTTCTATCCTACCGAAAATCGTCTATCCTCTCCTGACACCATCACCTGTTCAGACCTATTTGTGTCATTTTTAGATGTCCATCACTCCTGCATTCCATCATATGACGCTTTCCAAATAAAAAAATATATTTTATAATCAGGCATGTCGCAAATCCTGACTGTATATATTTTAGAAATATCCAATGAGTGATATTCACTGTTTACTCCGGTCTCGAGCAATGCTGCGTTTTAATATTTACGTCTTAATACTTGCAATGTTCAATATCTCTACCTAATGTTTTCTTGGTATGTATTGTCATTTCCGGAGACCACTGTTTGGAAATAATATATTATTTCTTTTTTTTAAATCAAATTTTCCCTTAGGATATTTAAATACCGCGCATACACGTGGGGTATTTAACACTCGGACCCATCAAACAACGATTATAATAATAATAATAATAATAATAATAATAATAATAATAATAATAATAATGAAGAAGAAGAAGTAGCACAGAAAAAGAGGTTGGGGAAGCAGAAGTCCCCACGGTCCACAGTAGATCCATTTGGAAATGAAGGAGAATAGTAATAGTAATGATTATCAATTAGAACGCATTCAATGAGGGTACGATATGATAAGCAGTGAACATGAATAGCACTCATGCTACAATTCATAGCTCGGTCCTCTAGCTCATCTCAGGCGCAGGCAAGCCTAATACGTCCTCGCACAATCTCCGCTCGCGACAGGCCGCCAAGAGGCTCCCTGCTTCCCAGCAGCAAAATTTGGCTGTCCTTTACACGCCCATTAATATGGAGTAGCGCTTACTCGCGGTGATGGTTTATGGTAATTCCGTCATTGCAATGTACCACGCGCCAGTGGGATGGCAAGGGGGACGCGCTAGGGCACGTTCCCGTCTCCTAATGGCGCCATATCGTCTCGCGAGAGGAATCACCTGCTGACGCCATCTTTGTCCGGCTCTTAATGGGAACCGTCTCGCGAGAGGAATCACCTGCTGATGCCATCGTTGTCCAGCGTCGCTTTGCATTGCGTTGCCTGAGCTGAAAGGCATAGCTTCATTTCAAAGATAAATATATTTTTTTGTATTCTACCATTGTAAACGACTCTTTTCTTTACAAGAAATCATTCATAAAAGACCATCTTACGGCTCATATATGAGTACATGTGTCATAATACATTCAGATAATTGGAGCGAGAGAATCGTGGTGACGTATCAGTAAATGGAACAGCCAATCACCGTCCTTGTTTTGATTTTTGATTGTTTTCACTGATGTCAAATACCTGTGACGTCACAATAAAGTTGTGTCCCAAATTTAACTTTAATCCTCTTCTAGTAAATCGTTCTAGTAAATGTTTCGTTCGATTGGGTACATTAAAATTGCATTGAAACAAAAATACGGAATTGCTTTGAACTTATCGATAATTTATATTTTATCCCGCCCATCCTTAATCCAAACATTAGAGCATATAAATGTAGTCACAACATGAGTGACACCACCTCTTGCCCACAGGTCAGTCACCCCTAGTGAGCGTGCGTCGCTGCCACCCTCATTATCATGCCCCTTGCTCTCCGCAGCACACGCCTCCTGGCCTTGGCTCGGGTCCGAACTTACCGCATCCCCCTCTGGTCCTGTGACCTGACCCGTCTACAGACACCCACTCCTCAAACCTTCTCTCGAGCCCTGCCGGCAACTTCGGTTTATCGACCTACCCCGCCCTTCCACTTTCCCAGACAGAATACAGAGTCATATTCAGAGTTCCTACCTGATCTATTAGACTCCCAGCTTCGTCTTAAGTTACCTAGCACCCCTATGTCACGTGGTCACAACCTTATATCATCCCCAGCCTCGAATGCAACTGATTTCTTCACTCTTATTTTCCAGAATCTCTAGTGTCACATGCAAGACATCCCAGTCTTTCAATGGCGTGGATTTGAGTGGGGATACCCCCCCCCAGAATATTATTAAATAAATAAATTTTCAATTCGAAAATCAATTTAATTTAATGTACTTAAATTCAAAGAAAATGACGTCACTTAATAATCTGTAGATTAATGATATTTTTAATATTATTTAAGTTTGAAATTCACTCTTTGAGTTAGATTATAAATTATTGTGGACACCGATATCGAAATTCTGAAATTTCACTTTGTGAACATAAAGATTCTGAATCAATTTTGGATGAAGCACCATATTACCATATTTCCAACCCCATCCTATGCCTTTGGCTCCAACTCCCGACTCTCGCCCTCAGCTCCAGAACCCAATCCTAGCCCCGGCTCCGACCCCAACCCCAGCTCTCCGTCTCACCTACCTCTGCTATCAATCCCAGCGCTTACTCCTGACCCAAACTCGGCCTTTGTCCCCAGTCCCGGTTCCTAACCTCATCCTCGGCTCTAAACTTCATCCTCAGTTCCCAACCGCAGTCCCACCTTCCGACCCAG